CAATATTTATAATGAATTTTAATAATTTTTTAGGATTTTTTTGAAGCTTTATTCTGACCGATTCACCCGATTCCGATCAGGATCGCCGATTCGTCGATCCGGATCGCCGATTCACCGATCCGGATCGGTTTTTGGAAAGCCCGATCCGAGTCACCGATCTGGTTTTTAAACCATTGCTCCTAACCATGGGCGGCAATGAGCTCATCATATTACTGCAAAAAGTTTTAAAAAAATATTATCAAACTTTGAGGACACTCTCACAACCCAATTTCACACGTGACATTTTGGGGTTATTGTGACCTTCTTGCAAGATAGGCAAATGTTTTTGGAGTATACCTTCCCCCTGTTGTGTGCGCTACATGGATGATATTTACAATATACATTTTCAATGACAAATAATGGATATTCACAAAACGATCTCCGCCCTTCATTATCTAAAATGGATAGTGGATGTCCTTATGGTTACCATAGTCGCAGTACAACATTGGTGTATGTACTTTGTTGAATATGGCATCATTATCTTCTTCCCTAAGGAAATCTTTAAGAAAACAATATACAAAAAGAATACTTGCTTCTGGTACAAAGATATAGTGATAGTGAGTATGTTATTGACTAAATTCAAAATTCAAATAAAAATTTGTTGAACTTTGTATTGCAACTCAATCCAATTTGAAATCAGTGTGACCTCCTTGTAACAAGGATAAATGGTCTCATAGTGTTCCATCCCAATTTTAATGAAGAATGTAAATTTGATCATAGAAACATTATGGTTGTTGTCAGCCTCGGATCAATTATATGAACGATGATGGAGATAGTTGATCAGTTGGTCCCAACCCACCCATCAACTTATTGGACAACGATACCACTACTTATGATATACCCCTTGCTTCTCTAATGGGGAAAGCATTTTATTTGAGCATGGTTTTATAAATTTGCACTTTGAATTGCACCAATGACGTTAAAAGACTTGACAATTGACCATCTTGACCCTGACAGTCATCTAAAAAATATATTTCTAAGCTTTAAAAATAATTTACGTTATATGGTAATTTTTTGATTATCTATTCAAGTACTCACAATTCCATTAAATCTACACCATATTTAGTATTTCAAATTTTTTAGCCAAGGAATGAATAAGATATGCGTGTGGCCGCAACAAGGGTTTCTAGCTTTTGAAATTTTGGATGAATGGGCTCAAGGCTATATGATTAGGGTGGTGAGGTGCCATAACATGATATCTTGACTTCTATTTTTACCATGGTAAGAGACCTTTTTACTTGTTGAACTACTTAACTTCTAAGGTTTTAGTGTAGCTTTACCAAATCTCTTGAACCTGCATACCCTACCTTAATTCCTTTTTAATAATAAGATGCATTTCTTAACATACGTTATGAAAATTTAAAACAAAATTATGGGCAATAACAAAAATGCACATATCCGGCCAACAAGTTGACCTAAAAGGAGTCCTCATCCAAGACATCAAGCTTAAATTTGAGTGGTTGGCAGATAACATTAGCAAGATTGCGTCTCAAGCACGCTTCTTACATTTGAACAATGATAAAAAAAAAGAAAAAAGAAAAAAAAAAGAGGCCTTCCAAAAATGCACCCTCAAGACTTTCCTTATCCATTGCCTACAATTAATTATGGCCGGCAAACTATTGGCTTAGGTCTGGCCCAACCCTAACCCCAAAGAGCCCTGGTCCACAAGGTTGGACCAAGCCAAGCTAGGCCAGGCTCGGGGGCCAATCCAACTAAAACAAATGAAAGACAAAAAAAAAAAAAAGAAAACTAGGCCAGGCCGAAACATGCCAAACGTTTCGTGGCCCTAGTCCTAGCTCGGCTTGGCCCTAGGATGGGCCACGGTCCCATTGCCACCCCTACAAACAATCTGAGCCACATAGGAGGTTCATGTACAAAGCCACGGACCCGGAACCCCCCTTTGCCCCCGGGGGTCTATTTCACTAAATCCCAGGGTCATAATTGTCCAGGGGCAAATCGGTTCTCTCAAAAAGTTGACGAAGGGTATTATAGTCATTTCTGAAATCCTAGGTCTCAAGGTACGGGAGCAACCTTTCTTTATCAGAGCCATGTCCAGCTTTAGTTACTTCTTTTAGCTTTTTCTTTTTGCCTTTTCCTTTTTTTTTTTTTTTTTTTGTTCAAAATTTTAATTCATGCTACGAGGGACTGTAAATTCGGGGCTAAAAAAAAGAAAATGGGAAGAAAAACCAGGAGGTCAGCTTTCAATTTTCATGGCTATCAAGAAAGCCAGAATAGAAAACCCTATATCAAGGCCGAGTTTTCTGCAACTTTGTTACCCATAATTCTTTGCCTTAACCTGCTTTAGCGCCGGGGCCTTTCGAAGTTGCAGGAGCTTTCCCTTTTCCAGGGTTTGCTCCTTGGATTCCCCATTTTTAGGCACATTCTCTCTCCGAGGGTTTTCGCTCCATGGTTTTATGCTAAGGATTTCTAAGAGCTGGTTTTTGATGGATATGGGGCTTGGTTTTTGAGATCTCTTGGGGTTGGTTTGAAGGAAGTGGTGACGGGTTTTGTGGGCTTATCTCTCTGAAGAAGGAGCTTTTTTGTGGATGCGTGCGGTCTAGGGCACATTTGGTCACATAGGGCTTGTGCTCTCTGGTCTTAAGGGGGTTTTTGCTCTTAGTATATGAGATTCATTGCATTTAAATTTAACTGAATTGGCGTTATCCCTTCATTTTGAGGCCACATTGCTCTTTGAATGTTTATACGTTCGTTATTTCTAGGTTTTGTTTTGGAGGAAATGAGACCTCGTATTGCGATTTCGAGGGTTTAAGTCCCCGACGTTTTGGTCAGTGCTGAGCCATATATCAAATGGAGATGCACATTTTGGTTGCCATTGCTTGTTGAAATCAGAGTTTTCATGGATCTGGTTATGGGTTTCTGAAATTTATTGCGTTTAAATTTGGAGATTTGTTAAGTGGTTGTGTGCAAAGTTCTGAGCTGAGATGTATGTTGCTCCTCCCCCCAAGCTCTCCGAATCGAATCGGAGGATCATTCATAACAATGGGCTTTCAAAACGAGTATACCAAGTCTGGAAAGGAAGCAATGTAAGATTTCATCTTGCATTGTTGATTTAGTCCCACGTTTAATGACTTATCCAAGTACCATGCTTGCTCTTGATGGACTTAACTGGTCAAATCTGCCATTTTAGTTTCCAATTTTGCTTCCATTTTTTGTTTTCAATTGGTTTCGTCAGGTAAGTATGGCATGTTTGGGTTCCGTGGTCATTAATCTTACATTTTTCCTGGCGTAGCAGTGTCTGAAGATTTATCTGTTAGTTAGGTTGCATCAATGTTTTATTTGGAATTTCCCATTAGATTTCCTGGATGTCAATGAAAAATTGTTTTCCTGTAAATTTTTTTTGGGATCTTTACAATGCTACATGTTAATAGATCTCGGTCTTTTGATCAGTTCTTCTAATGTCATTGATTGAGATTATATGGTCTGAACTCTGAACTGACTCATCTGTGTACATAGTCTTTGAAGTGATATATTTTTTCCTGCTCTTTGTTGATGTATTCATATTATCAAGGGGTTAAATACTATGAGACCATTTATCTTTGTTTCAAAGAGGTTACAATTGCTATTAGCCTATGTATGTCAAATTGGATGGCCTAGGGTGTGTCCCAAAGATTGAGATTTTTATTTTAAACTTTAAGTCTTGTCAACGACACACTCACGACCACCCAATTAGAAATCTGATGGATAGCAGTCATTGTGACTTTTTTGTATTAAAAGCAAACGGTCTATTTGTAATTTTCTATACTTTTCCTATTATCAAATCCATATATATTGGGATTTTTAACTAAAGAATATTAACACTCAACAGAGTGAAATACTGCATCCATCTATCTTGGTATATGTAACTACTAACTAAAGAATATTAGCAGAGTGAAATCAGTATTTCTTTCTGGAAATTCACATACCTTATTCCTATTAGCCACCCAAAAGGCATAAGCATTTAAAGGTAGAGCTAGCAGCTACTTCTATTAAAAAAATTGTGCTTTTTTAAAACTGCTATTTGTCTTCGTTGCAGCCAGTATTATATTTTGTGCGGAGACTAATGTTGCTTGAGCTCAGAGATATCATGTTCAATTGCTTGGTTATTTTCCGTGATCAATGCGGTGAAAAGAAGTTATTAATTCATGGATAGTTGATGTGGTCTTTCATAGTGTATATGATTTCAAGGAGTCTTAGTAGAGCCAAATACATTTTTATGTCTCTTTTGGAATGGATTCTAGTTTTGGCTAGGCATTGTAACGAAATGCTTTCTCGGTACATCGTATGAAAACCAGATTTTAGTTATTCAAGATTTCTCCATCTAAATCCCATACCCTTCTCTAGGTTTCCACTCTGTTCTAATACATGGTGAAGCTCTTTGATGTGCTCTTCCTCTATTGATGTTGTACAGAAGTCAATACACTCTGTTGAAGAAACATACTTTCACATGTCCTTGATCCACTCTTTGTAGCTTGAAGTCAAATATGTTGTATCCATCATTGCTAAGAGAAAGGGAATAAGGAATCTTGGTGCCTCAAGCCTCTTGATTTTTTCAAATATCATTTCATCTAACCTGTCTTAAATCATGTAGAAATCACATGCACAAACTCTTCCTTGTTGAATCTCATGCTCATGAAGATAGATGTAGAGATTCTAAATGTCGTATGCCATGTCTTTTTTTAATTATAAGGAAATTTATTTTGACATGTCTTGATGAAATTTCAGAACATAATGTAGGTTTCCATTTCTACTGTAATTCCGTGGCCTTCCATGCATGAAATGCTTTTTGATGAAACTGCAAGGGATGTGATGCAATGGGTTTTTTTTTTTGTTTTGCTATTTTTAGATTTTATGTGTAGGGCTATTTTTGTCATTTCTTCCTTGTAGAAACTTAAGGGGCAAAATAGGAAGTTTTCTATAGTAGTTAGTTAGAATATATTTTGTTAAAGTTGTCGATAAGGGAATCCTAGTGTTAAGGGATTTAGTTGACTTAGAGATTTTCTTAAGAAGAGATTAACGTGACATTGGGAAAGGGGAGATTTACTAAAATTAGGAGAGGGAAAAACTTGGGGTAAAGATAGAGAGAACGTGGGGAGAGAGAGAGTATTTTTGGAGTTTTATTTTATTCTCCTTTTTCTAGTTTGTATTTAAAAAGGAAAAGAAATCCCTATTATGCAAGATGGTGAATTGAGTAAAGAATTTTGGTCTTGTGAAAAGATCTATAAGGTGGACTTCCTTGCAGACCCTGAGAGGGTCTAATCTCTCAAGCATCTTATTTTTTATTTTTATGTATCTTTATTTATTTATTTATTAATTTTCTCCTTGTATTAGTTGGTATCGGATCCTACCATATGGAGCATTTAGATAAATTTTATCAAATAATTGAGCGATTTGGATCAACAATTTGAGAGACACATAGAAGATATTGGTAGACTCATCATCATCATAGCCTTTTCCCAACTATTTGGGGTCGGCTCATTGTTCCAAAAGGCGGACAGCCTAGCATCTAGGTGGTCCCCTAGGCGGTTCAAAGGGCCTGGGCCCCCTGGGTGGCTTCTTAAGCTCTTGGGTACCAAGCCGTGGGTGGCTACTTAAGAGCTTGGGTACCCGCCTAGGCAGGCGACCAGTGCCCAGGGCCTGCGCCCTGCTTAGGGGTGGAAATGCCCCTTGTTGAGGGATATTTTTGGGTTCTTTTAGAGTAAGAGGGGAAAACAGTGGGTTTAGGTTCATTTCAAACCTAAATCCCATTAGAGCCCATTTTAGAGAGCAGCGTTTCAAAAAGCGCTAGGCGAGTACCCAGGCGACTGTGAGGGACCCGGCCGCCCAGCGCCTAGGCGGGCGCTCAAAAACCGGGGCGGCCCAGTTGAAAGAAAAAAGATAGAATTTTGATACAAATGAGGAGAATTTTGATGTTCTCTATCTATATTCCATATTTAATGTTTCCATAAATGAGGAATTGAGGAGAAGTCGAGAAGAAAATTTTGATAATCCATAAGACCATAATTCATATTTTCATACAATGCTAAAACAAGAAAACCATACATGCATACACTAATAGTCTGATACACACAAAAGTTAGATAGTAGAAAACTAGACACTAAAAAGTAAAAACTAAAAATAAAAAAGAAAATACACAGAAACTTAGAAAATATACAGTCTGGGACACATATTCAACAGACAACACCAAGAGTCAAGCACTCAAGCGTCTTCAACTCTTCATTCTTCAGTCATCATCTTCATCAAAAGGAGTAGGGTAAGCCTCATCATGTGCATCAGATTCGAGGCCATCATCATCAAAGTCATCTTCCTCTTCATCATAATGTTCGTCTTCCTTTGTTTATTCTGAATCTGCCTCTTTCTTCTCCTCTTCTTTTACCTCCCTCTTACTATGTGCAGATGAGGCCCTAGGAGTCTTGGCTTCTTTACCATTTTCTATCTTTTTGTGCTTCTCTGAATTCAAATATTGTATAATCTCCTCCCCGGTAGCTTCAAAAACATTTTTGCACTGGGCAACATCCCCCTTAATACCGGCAAGGTGTTTTTTGAACCGGTAAATACCCCCATTAATATCCTTTCCACAATAATTACATTTAATACGATGTTTGTCATTTGGATTCGAGTTATAACCATACTTCCAACCCGGATCACCACTTCTAGAAGAACCTGGAGAAGATTTTTCTTAGAACAAGGTTCATTTTCCTCCTTTTCTGGTTCTTCTAAATTCAGAAATTGTCTAATATCATCTCGAATAGCTTTAGGAACCTTTTTACAAGAAGCAATATTCCCTTTAATACCGGCAATGTATTTCTTGAATCAGTTAATATCCCCATTGGTATCTTTTTCACAAAAATTACACCTTATACAATTTTTAACGTTTGGTTTCGGGTTATGACCATACTTCCAACTCGTATCACATCTTCTAGCAGAACTAAAAATAGATCTATTCAATTGACAAGGATTTTGTTTCTGTTTTTGTTTTACAGAACTTTTATATTGCTTAATCTTCTCTCTGATAGCTTCAGGAACATTTTTACAAGGGGCAACATCCCCCTTAATACTGGTAAGATGTTTCTTAAACTGGTTTATGCCCCATTTTGTATTTTTTTCACAATAATTGCATCTTGTAATTTTTGTCATTTGAATTCGGGTTATATCCATATTTCCAACCGGGATCTCCACTTCGACTAGATCCTGATGAAGACATCTCAAAATAAAACAAACAATCTAAAAAATAAAGTTTTGCAGTTACTTTGATTGCTCGAACTCCAAATTTCGACCTCTATGGTGTTTTCTAGTACTAAATATTCAAAGCACCCTCTAATAGGATTAAAAAACTCCAAAACTAAATCTAATCTACTTAGGTGATGTTTGGATTTATTTTTCGTAACTTTGAAAAACACTTCGATCCAATGAAAATCACCAAATATACTTTTTTTGAGGTTTTCCTCTATCTAAAATGGGTTTTTGTAGGTTTAGGTTTCGAATGAACCTAAATCCCACCTTTAAAAGCTTTTATTTTTTTAAAAGTTCAATAGAACCATAAAAAAAAAATCATTTTCGCCCCTGGGTGGGGCGCATGCGCTTGGCGGCTGCTGTATCACCTAGGCGGTCGTTGAGGGACCCACCGTTTAGGCTTAGGTGCATCTAGGTGGCCGCCTAGGCGTTGGGAAGTCCACCTTTTGAACCACTGTTAGAGAGAGAAAAACCTTAAAAAAACTAGATTTTTGTGATTTCCATGTGATTTCTCTAGATTTTAGGGGTTCTTTCTACTGGGCCGCCTAAGTTCTGGTGTCGGTCTTGATGCCCCTGGCCGCCTAGTTACCGCTGGCATTTTTTAGAATATTGGGTCGGCTACAGGAATCCCGGTCCGCCATTCTGCTCTATTAAGGACAATACCCTCAGTGAAGATAACGTAGATTTAGGATCCATAGAAAGTTTTGGCAAAATTTTACATTAACTGCCTACATAACACAATCCACCTCCTTTACCCTGGCTAGGAACAGGTTATGAGAAAATTTAAGGTCCTCACCATTTTAGACCAACAAGATCTACAAGAGGAACAAGAACATGAAGAGGTATATCTCAACGCAAAAGACGATGTCAATATTCCAAAAGCACAAGAAATTTCGAAAATCAATTATAAAGAAGAAAATATGTGTGATGTTTGTATGTGAAATCCAATCTTGTGAGCCTGAAGGAAAAATCATGATTCAGTTTAGTATTATGGACTTCGGTATCTCAGAGTTAGACTAAAAATTGTGCTGGATCAATTGGTTATTTGAAGAATAAAAAGTACCTAGAAGAATGTTGGGAATGCATCAACTTTTGAGAAGGTTTCTAAAAGATTTGAGTTCAACAAGCTCGAGGTTGAACTTCTTCAACACCGGGAGAATGATGCAGTGGGAATTTTTTATTTTTTATTTTCCTCTTTTTAGATTTTGTGTAGTGTTATTTTTATCTTTTCTTCTTTGTAGAGATTTAAGTGGCTAAATAGGAAGTTTTCTATGGGAGTTATTCCGAATATATTTTGTTAAAGGTTGTACATAAGGGAATCCTAGTGTTAAGGGATTTAGTTGACTTAGAGATTTTCTTAGGAAGAGATTATCGTGAGACTGGGAATAGGGAGATTTACTAAGATCTGGAAAGGGAAAAATGTGGGGCAAAGAGAGAGAATGTGGGGAGAGAGAGAAGACAGAAGAGAGAGAGAGAGTATTTTCAGAATTTTATTTTATTTTCCTTTTTTCTAGTTTGTATTTAGAAGGGAAAGATATCATTATCATGGAAGATGGTGAATTGAGTAAAGAGTTTGGGTCTTGTGAAAAGATCTCTGGGGTTGACTCTCTTGCAGACCCAGAGATGGTATAATCTCGCAAGCCTCTTTATTTTTTTTATTTATTTATTTATTATTCTCCATGTGTCAGAATGGAATTACCTTTTTTTCCAATGGACAATACTAAATTCTTATATAGACATTACAAAATTATCAAACCCGAGGTTGAGTGGTCAAATGATCAAATGTTCACATTTCCTAAATTCGTAGATTTGCTTGGGATAATAATTAGGAAAACTTATCAAATTACATTTCAGGTTGGACTATTTAATATCTTCCCTATATTTTTTTATTTTTTAATCTAATTTCAAGTAGCCCATCAAATGACACATCAAAATAGGTTTGATAAACTCCACCTTGGGTAAAATGTTAAATAATTCAACTTTTAGGTGTATTTTGATAAATTTCCTAATAAGCGTTAAGTTCTTGCATGATCCCCTACGAAGCAACTTACCAAATGGCTCATTTGTATAAATGGATAGTTCCCGAAACTTTCCTAGAAATTTATTAGAGGCGCTTATATTGTGAGTCCTTCTCTATGAAAGACAAAGCCTTGTCTTGGGGAACAGGGCCGATGGGAAGCAAAACCGAAGTGTTTAGGCCAGTTCTTAGGGCCTCTTCTGCCTTGGAGAACAACCATTAGACTAAAATTGAATTTTGGTTATTTTCCTCCATTTTGCAACGTTTCTTTAGGGTAAAATGTCAATTTTGGTTATTTTCCTCCATTTAAAGGTTATGTCATCCTCATCCCTAACCTAGAGATAGGGTGCTATTAAATATGTGAATCCCCTGCATGTTGGTAATTGATAGTTTTACTTTTAGCCTCTGATATCTTTTCCTCTTATTCTTAGTGGATTTACATTGTGCTGAAAATTGTGATCGCAACTGATGGCCTTTTTTTCTAGTATTGATAATTCAAATTTGAAGGTTATCATTGATGTATAATGGTGATTAGATTGAACACAATGGTTTTATAATGTTCCATGCAATACATTCTCACAGTGCATCTTGGATTTGTGCTGAGTAACTACTCTGTTTTATTTTGTAATAAAGTAACTGCTCAGAAAAAAAGGAAGTCTGTTTCTTATAATGGAAACCTTAAGTTATTTCCTGTAAGATTGTGTCTAACATAAAAGGTACTTTGCTCATGCAAAAAATAGAATCTATTCAAGAAAATCAAAATAACAGAAATTTAAAAGAATTCTGCTCTAATTGTTAAAGTTGCATTATTTCTTCAGTCGTCGTGTTGATTGATTCAATGATTTCAGTGCTTTCACCCTTGTACACTGAAGATTATATAAGCTAGATTGATGTTATTATTTATTTTCATGGGTTACATATGAAAGCATTTTGCCTCAGGTTTTTTTGATATGTGATAAATTTGACTTTTTCTTTGTATGAAAAAAAATTGCAGAGGTTCTTCCTTGGAGGCCGACTTATATTTGGTCCAGATGTGAGGTCACTGGCAATGACAATATTTCTTATTACGGTGCCAGTTCTTATGTTCAGTGTATTCGTTTCTCAAAAACTTGTCTACGAGTTTCCACACCATCTTGGGAATCTCATTGTAGCTATTGCTATTATCTTCACTATATACGTGGGTATCCCAATTTGGCCGTCCTTTTAATTTCTATTGAGATCTATGCTTATATGGTTAGCCGACCCGAATTAATTGGGATAAGGCTTGGATGATGATGATGATTCTATTACTATATGGTTATGTTTCTCAGTCAGAAAATATTGTTGAGCAGTGTACTTGACTATTTTGTTGCAAGTTGTTTTTTCTGGACTCACTTTCATTGAAATTGGCACATCTAATCTCTTGACTTTCTTGTTCCTCTTGGCCCATGCTTTTTGATATTCTTGAGCAGCTGAGCCGAAAAGAAAAAAGAAAAGAAAGAAAATGACGGTTCTTTAAATAGATTTCCCTCCTATGTGCCTTTAATTTTCTAATTACTGCTTAATCATAGAAGTTGTCTTGGCGAAATTCACCTGTGTTGTTATTGGTTAGTTAACTTGGTTTAACTAGTGCCAAGCCTTGTATTTCATTCTTTTAAATTGAATTTCTTGTAGGTTCTCATTCTTCTTTTCCTGACTTCTGGAAGAGACCCTGGTATAATTCCGCGTAATGCACATCCTCCTGAACCTGAAGATGATGGTGATGGTTCAAATTTGAGCGTCGATTGGGCAGGCTCCCAAGGTAGCATGCCCAGTTTGCCTCCCACTAAGGATGTGCTTGTTAATGGGGTTGTTGTCAAGGTCAAGTATTGTCAAACATGCATGCTATATCGGCCACCACGATGCTCCCATTGTTCAATTTGCAACAATTGCGTGGAGCGTTTTGACCATCATTGCCCCTGGGTTGGACAATGTATTGGGCAGGTATGTTCTCTTGGTTGGTTATCCAGCAAATGTGCTTGTCTTTTTTTAACTCTATTATGAAGGCATACTATAATCTAATGGACAATGTAAATGATTTTATAATAGGGTCATCAATCTGTTTGGCAACCTTGAAATCCATTGCGATGAAATGGGTTTCCAGGAAATGCTCCATCTCCGTTGTTGGTGATGACAAGAGGAACATGCCATTGGGAGCATCATAGCATGTCGTGGTGGCCCCTTCCTTCCCCCCCTCCCCCAAAAAAAAGAAATGAACAAAAAAACACACACACACTGAAAACCCATCCATCTCTACTTACAAATGACGAGGAATTCAGTGGATGATGGTTTCCCATGGTCCATTGGATCTCTACACTTCTTTCCCTTACTCAACCCTTAACAATCTTGGCCTTGATAGGCCAAATGGCATAGGTTGGAGTATTGCAATCTGCAATTTATATCTGCTTTCTTCAATCCCTTATATTTTATCAACATCATTAAGTTCACAATATGTTTTTGGCAAATTTAAGTCAGTGTTATATATATTTCTCATGTTTATATGTTAATTTGCGCATAGAAATCTGGTTTACAGTTGTAACAGAATCTACTCATGATTGTCATCTCATCAGACTGAGACCTAGAATTATAGTTGTAGTATCCACTGGGCCTTATCCCCCCCCCCCCTCCTATCCCTCTCTTTCTCTCTTTCTTGCTTGCTCTCTCTCACATATGCAAGCATGGAGACGCCTATCCTGAACTAGTATGTGAGACCTGTTAAGGTACTTATCTTTCTCTGTTAATGCAGCGGAACTACAGATTCTTCTTCATGTTTGTGTCCTCAACAACTCTTCTGTGCATCTATGTATTTGCATTTTGCTGGGTAAACATCAGGAAGACAATGCAAGCATACGACTGCAGTCTCTGGAGGGCTTTTCTGAAGTCACCTGTGTCGGGCATCCTCATCGTATATACTTTTGTAGCAGTTTGGTTTGTGGGAGGGCTCACAACTTTTCATCTTTATTTGGTTTGCAGCAATCAGGTTGGCCTCCACTGCAACTCTCTCTCGCTCTCTCTCATCACATGTCACATTCACACACATGCATGAACACACTATCGATGGTCATATTAATGGGTGCAAAGCTTGTTTTTAAGTGCTTTTCTATTGAATTCTGAGTCCATTTTCCATCTACTTCTTTGAAAATGAAGCACTTTTTTGTTTTTTTTCCTGTCGACAACTCTGGCCTTTGCCTGTACAGACAACTTATGAGAACTTTCGCTATCGCTACGATGGGAAAATGAACCCCTACAATAGAGGGTGGTTTCAAAACATTCGAGAGATCTTCTTCTCAAGAATCCCTCGTTCTAAAAACAAATTTCGTGCAAAGGTGAAGGAAGACTCTTCTGCCTTCACCACCTCTCTCTCTATGGGGGCGCCCAACCTTAGCCCTGAGATTGCAAAATCAAGCTTTGATGTAGAGATGGGTGGGGGCAAGAGGCACACGGTTGATGCTGAAGAGTTTGCAGATATTCAAAGCCAGATGGAGAGTGTCGGTAGCCATCTAGAGAGGTGCGGGACCCACCCCAGTCGCACTAGCTGGGGACAAAAAGGTAACTGGGAGATAACACCTGATATTCATGCTTTGGCTGCTGAGTTTGGTGGAGAGGATAGATTCACTGATAGAGATAAGAATCAAGGAGGCCATTAAAGACAGTTATTTGCTTCTCTTAAAAACCAGTTCGCCAGGTTTTTGGCCGGGAAGTTTTTACATTGCTCTCTCTCTCTCTCCTTTGGAGGGAAGAGGGTGGTGGGTGAGAGGGCAAAATGTGTTCCATCTGATAAAGGTTTGGGGAGGGTAAGGTTTGTATACTAAAATTGTTGCTTGGATTTGCAGTGAAATTGTAAATTGTAGGAAGAACAAAATGTAATGGTGGCCTCCTAGGTGTGAATGTAGATTCTTCTTTTGCTTGGAGAAGGTAACTGAGTATTTTTTATGCTTTGGAGAAGACTGAAAAGGAAACAGGGGCTCAGCACCCTTCATGAAAATTTGTGGGGGTTAGTTTTATTTTGATTATTTTCAAATGAACAATACAGAAGTTTTCTCAGTGTAGCATTTTCTAAGAATGTCATTTTTATGATTTAGAATAGGGTGTGGTTTCTACAGATCGCGATTTTACAAATAGGTAAAGCCGAAGCTTGAAACCCTAGGAAAATTAGTTCTGGCGTTGGAAACTCTTGAGATGGCATGTAAACCACTTTCCAATGCTGTATGTGGACTATGAAACTCTACAAGTGGACTAGATCAGGTGGATCTGCGAATATTTAAAATGTATGGTCCAGAAAAAAGGTTAGACAAACTACTTTTAGGGTTTCAAATCTATCCTTTTTCAAAATTGTTGATCTATTGAGGCGTTGATCGATTTGTAGGTTTTCTAGCATTGGAATTATATTTTGTCATATTTTGAATTTCAGCTTTATAGAGCTGCTGCTCTGCAAACCACTTTAAACAGTTGTCATTCCAAGCAATGTTCTATAATCCATTGAGTAACTCTACATCATGGACCATGGTGGAGGTACCATGGTGGAGGTGTGACCAACCAAACTGCTATAACTTTGTTTTTTTAGATAATTTAGGGGGGAAGATATGCCGCTACCTGTTTTATCAAACAGTATAGTAGTATAGTATTTTTTTTAAGGTGTTAATAGAGTGGTGTTAGTGGAAATGGAAACTACAACATGGTGATTAGGGTGTGGGGGTGTTACCATCAAGACCCCAATCCTTTTCCTATAAAATTACCAAACTACCATCGCACTGATGTACTTTTATTGAATAGAAACTCAAATGAATTATTTAGTATTTTATGAAATGGGAGACGGATCTTGTGTGATATAACCTTTACACTAGTAACTTTGTATCTCTATATATCATAGTTAGCAAATCCTCGATTAATCGTTGATTTTTTGAAAAATGTTAAAAACGGCAATTTTTTGAAATGTTCGTCAAAAAACGTGTTTTTTTCATAACAACGTTAAAAACGATTTTTTTTGGAGAATGAATAAAATGGGTTAAAAAAACGTTCATTTTCTTGCTGATTTCACATAAAAAAAAATCCAAAAAAATAAAAACAGCCATGTTTCTCTCTCTAGAACCACAAGCTTTTGAACCATGCAACTTATAGAGAAAACCCTCATTTAACCACAATCTTTTTCCTGATTTTACAGAGAAAAACCCAAAAGAATGACAAGGGCATTGTTTCTCTCTAGAACCTTTGTGAAAAAATGACTTTATTTTTTAACCTTTGGGAGAGGTACTTATGTGGCCGATTGATTCATGGAGCGCCAATGGATGCATATTATTTTCTTCTGAATTTTGATCCAAAGAATATAATAATTATAAAAAGAACGTTCATGAAGAGCAGGACGCTTAAATGTTCTAAAGATCTATTTCCATGGGAGGGATGGGAAAAACGGTGTTGTTCTTATAATTGTAAACACTGAGCTTTGATTGGCAGTTTAATGCCCTGTAATATTTGTTTGCATTCATCAAATGCTACTAGCCCTTTTGGGTCTAAATGGTTTATCAAGCCCCTGTCAAACGAAAGAAAAAATGGTCTTATTTTAACAAGAAAAATTATATATTACAAAAGAAAAAAAATCATCTTTTCTTTTTGTCTCTCTAAAATCAGCTCCACCATCTCTTCTTGCCTTTTCAAATCTTGCCCTAGCCTAAAAGCTACCCAAATCACTACAAGCAGAGCATTGATTAGGGTTTCTTTCTCTCTCTAAAATCTCTAAAATCAGGTCCGCCATCTCTTCTTGCCTTTCCAAATCCTGTCCGAGCTCAGGATTTCTTTTTCTCTATAAAATAGTGATCCCAAAATTTGTCCCATCCTGATTAAGGTTTCTTTCTAGCCCTCGATACAGAGCAACGAAGATCAATGGTTTCTTTGCCCGAGCCCTCTTTTAAGCTTCTATAATACGTTGTATGAGAGGGCGGGAGCTTTTTATATTACCCATTTCACATAAATGAGGACAACAAAAATTATATACTCGAAGGATCACAATGTACTTGTACACAAAAATATTATTGGAATTATTGTTAAGCCACCGTCCTATTTTATGGTAGAAAACTATAATACAAATTATACATATATTTATTTGATTTTTTTACTCCGAATTTTTTAACCTAGTTTGATGTATTGATGATATCTTTACATGAAATATTTTTGCCGATCTGTTTTTTTTATCCGATTTTTTCATTTCACTTTTTAAAATAAAAACGATTTTTTTTCGATTTTAAAATAAGCCGATTTATTGAAAGTCCCCGACTTGCTAACCATGCTGTATATATCTCTTTATATACGTGAAGACTTCATATACAGGCACTCTTTCTCCACTAAAAGGTCTATTTAAATTTTGTATTTCTCATCTTTTACGTATTACTTTCTTTTCCATTCTCAGAAGTATAATTTTGTCTACTTAGACTTTCCCTTTTGAAATACAATCGATAGGGGCGTTGGTCTTATAACGACCATTGCTTCCGTTATGGTTCAAAATGATAAGGCCAAGTTATTGAGTTCTTACTAACAAATCCCATAACGCAAGTCAAATACAAAAATTTGCACCAAATACATGGCATAGGGTTGGCAACGGCAGGGCCTGGGCCAAGCTTGGCCTTGCTCTTGGCCCCTTTGGGTGGCATAGGTCCATTCCAGCTTAGCCCACCCAGGCTAAAGGCCGCCCAGCTGCCCTAGCCTGTCGAAACAAATGAAGAAACAAATAAAAGAAAAAAGAAGAAGAAAGAGGGCTGGACTGGGCTGTACTAGGTCGGCTCTGTAGTGGCCTGGTCTGAACCCAATCCGCCCCTCAAACCACAATTTGTGGCCTAGAATTGACTTCTAGGGCTGGGTCGACCAACCTACTGCTAGCCCTAGTTCCACTGTCTCCTTTTTGCCTCAATTTACTTCCGTGCAAAAATACCGTTGGTGGCATTTTGCATTCTTTCTAAAAATGAATCCTGACACTTTTGATGCTTGTACTAAAGATCACAATCAGTTCTAGTCCATTAGCGTCCTTAACCTATCCAGCTAAGCTTAAGTTTGTTCTATCTACTAAGGTGCCAACTTTTTTTTCGGTTTTTTTTTTAACATTCTTTTGAATGTTTACGACGGGTAGGAATAAAACTTTAGATGTCATGTTGTGACAAGCACCAAAGAAAAACAAAATTCTTATGTTTTTTATAGGGTGCCTAGCAAAAATTTGGGCCAAATTTCGTGCCGAGTTATATCTTCATAAATTTCCCACAAAAACTGAAAATTGATATCCTACTTGAATTAAGTTACTTTACAAACAACATAATTTTCTCACAAAATGCAACTTTAAGTATCCTACAATATTAGCAAAAAAATATTTTAAAAACTCCATAAAATTTCCTTCTTCAATCTGCACATAGCCTTGATAAGAGCATCCATGCCTACCCATAAAAAACTAAGGCTTGAGGGCCGGGGCTACCACGGCCCAAAGGCTGGGCTACCACGGCCCTAGGGCTGGGCTACCACGGCCCAAGGGCTGGGCCTAGGCCATCACAAGGCTGGGCCGGCCAGGCCTTTTTTGTCCTTATTTTTTCATTTTTAAATAATTAAGTGGAGTAGGCCCAACCCAGCCTGGACCGGGCTAATCCCCCTCGGCCCTATTTGGCTTTGGTGGAGCTCAAGTTGTTCCTAGAGGTACCTGGTCAGGGCTGGCCCTACATGTTGCCAAATCTTGTATGCACACCAAAATCTCTCTAAATTTATTGTAAAACCTAACCATTAATTTTCCATAATATTCGAATAAATTTATTATAAAAATATAATATTAATCTTAACTTTATCTTCTTGAACAACCTAAATACCACAACTGTCTTTGCTGGCAAAATACCTGTTTGGAAAGTGGTGCAATAGCGGTTAAGTGTCCTTCAAACACAAAGAATCAGCATACTCGGCACCAAAGATGCCGACTGTATCAGCCCGCATGGTGCAACGCTTAGTTTGCGCATCGAAACAGGGCCTACCTTCACATTGATTTCCATTTCTTTTTTTTAAAGTGTTAATGGTGGGAATGGAGTATAAGACGTTGCGATTGACTTGGTCCCTGCGGGGTTAGGAGGTGGAAGCCTCGAGAAATTTTTTGGATATATTCGTATATGGGATTTGATATATCTGAGACTTATATCTATCCGTACAAAGGTATTTTAGTAATTTGTACCATCGATATGGGACTCGATACATATTATTGCGATTAGGGGTTTATCCAAGACTAAGGGAAAAACGCAAATCACAGATAAAACAGAGAGGCGTGAGGAAGAGAATGATGGTAACCCTATTCTCTATTGCCAGTAAGGAAGCTCTCATCTCTTTGTAATTAGATAAAACAGAGAGGCGTGAAGAAGAAAACGATTGTAACCCTATTCTCTATTGCCAGTAAAGAAGCTCTCATTTCCCGTTGACGTAGGGACGTTGTCGAACCACGTATATCTTTGCGTTGTGGTTGGTTGTTTATTTCTTTTGTGTTTGTTTCTTCTTTTTTCTTTTCGTGGATTGCTTTTCGTTTCTACAGACATCAGGCACATGTCCTCCAACCAATGATGCCCTGACCCCTGTTCTCCACACTGATTTGATTTCCATTTCTCTATGTTCAAGATGTTGCTCTCTGATTACCTAAAAACTAACTCTTTATTTTTTTAAACATTAACCATTTCTCGATTTGTGTGTCATCTTTGTACAGGGCCATGCTAATCTTCTCAATTTTATCGGATGTCTCCAAAGAAACAAAAATAAAAAAAATTCTCTCTCACGCACGCACACACACACACAAAGACACTCACATGCACATACACACTAATTGCTCTACAGTTAAGGCACCTTTTTCTTTCTCTAATTTACATTCCTCTATGGTTAAAATTCCCTCCCTCTAACACGGACCCACACTGATATCCATTTCTTTGTGTTTAAGATCTTTCTCTCTCTCTCTCTCTAACTTCTCTGTGGTTAAGGCATACATAAACACACATTCTCTCTTGCTAAT